TCTGACTAAATGCTAGCAAAATATCTTAAAAGAAAATTTAGCTCATTCTGTTCATGTATTTTGGATGGATGGAGACCCATTGAAAAGTTTAAATTAACAAATAACAACAGTCTTAAGGAGTTTACTCTTGTTGAAAAAAAAAACCTGTATATATTATAATGCCATAGAAACTTCCATTTTTTCAACTTATGGTTGAACAGTCTGTTTTGCATGCAGAAGAAACCTGTTTGGGCAATCTTGTCAATATTTATTCTGACAAGTAGGTACCCCTTAGACCAGTGGCTCAATTTGGCCAAACATTAGAATCATTTGAAATGCTTATACCATTTTCACTCCTGAACCATCTTAGACCTGGGAAATCAGAATCTCTGGACCCAGTACACTGGATTTAGTAATTTTTTTAAGGTTTCCCAGATGATTGCAATATACAAACAAGGTTTAGGATCYATGTCCTAGAAAATAGCAGTTTAATTATTGCATTCATTAATGTTACAGGGACCCATGAAATAAAAACTTAGGTGATTAGAAAATGCCATCATATTAAAACCCTCAGAGAATGTCATATGGGACTGTCACATAAAGAATGCAAATTTGTTCTAATGTCTTCTCATATCATCAGTGGAAGATAATTTCTGAATCAGCTTAATTGAGGCTGCGCTCCAAGAAGATAACTCCTCGGCCATAAGTACAGCTAATTGAAGCCCATCTTATTTCTAGGAATACTTTTCCATCTTTTCAAACTACCTTTATATAGTCTTGTTGATTAAAATTTTTATAAAGGACTTTTTTTCAGAATGAATTAAAGAAGATGGTTACTGAGAAAATAGATATATCATATACATTGGCATATAGAGCTTCAATTCATTATAATATTTAGAGGTAGAGTATTAGTTTTCCTTATAACCAAATTTTCTATAAGTCTAATAGTAAGGAGAATATGAAAACAAAAGTGACCAGGCTTGATATTGGCATAAATTTACTACTTTATTTTAATGTTGAATTATGGGCACATTTGGAAGTATCTCATCCCCATATCATGGCACCAATTCTAAAAATGGATACTTTGATCCCATCTCAAAAGAAGCACGTGGTGATCGTTGGGAAAACATTTTTAAATAATAACGTTTATTTGCACAAGTGAAGAAAGTGAATGCAAACTACAAAAAAAATGAAAATAATCATGAAAACTCATATTCCCCTACTCCAGCTCCCTTGCTCAATCTGATGATTTTCCTAGAATGTTATTCTCCACTTGCCTAAAAATGACTTGTTTGAATTCAATCTTACCCCCCGTATTCAGCTCACTTATTAAAACTTTCATAAAGCTTTTCCATTTGTAACAGAAAGTAAATCACAGACATCAGAACAAGGAGGAAGTCACTGCAATGGTCCATGAAAAAAAAAAACTGATTATATAGTAGGCACAGTGATAGAAAGTAGGTGCTAAAGAGACAGTGATGGGTTGTTACAGAATGGTAGAGAGGAAAAGAGGGGTAGGAAGAATCCCTGGCTGACACCCCAGACCAGACCATAAAAGTCATACACACACCTGCACACACACACACACACACACACACACACTTTCAGTGTGCATGGCTTGTGGGACTTTATTCATGAACAGAATTTTCAGGCTATCTGTCCTCTACCATTGGTTCTTTTGATTCGTTGTACTACATGTTCACAGGAAGCTCCCCACAGAAGGCTCGAGTCTGAGTTGTAGCCTCTTTCTGTCTCCTGATCAACTATGTTTCTTTCATGTTCTGATGCCTTGAAGTTTGGTACCATTTCTCKGCTTTTCCTTGTTTAAAAGTGCAAAGGTACTTGTCTAAGGTGGGCATTTAAGTCATGGTGTGCTTTTAATAATGTGTAGTGTAAGTCCCTCTAGAGGCAAGAATACATTTTGTTTGAGTGTCTTTTCATTCTGAATGCTTCTCTGAAAGGCATAGTTTGTAAATTCTTGTTAATGTGAAAAGGGAACGTTTTGGGCACCTTCTCTGTGTTGCTGATGTGTAGAGCTATTTTTAATTTTTGTTCTTCACTCTTTTTTCTGTGCTTGTGAATTTTGAGGTGCCAGACTGACTGCCCTCTAGGCTAGTGTCCCCAATTTATCCTCAAAATAGGAAAAATATGAGAGGCAGAAAAATCCAGAGTCATGTCTGGGTTCAGCATATTACCCTGACCCACTCAGGAAAAATCTCAACATACCCTAAAAGAAAAGTTTTTTGTTGTTGTTCTTTTTCTTTTCTATTCTTTTCTTTTTTCTTTATTTTTTTTAATGAAATAGTCCATCTGCTCACAGAGCTGAGAAGACTAAAGCCTCTTTTGCTATCACTGCAGCAATTTTGCCTCTTGTAAACCAACACTCAGGATCTCTTTGGAAAATCTAGAATATTTTTTTCTCTTTCATTTCCACCTGTCAAAATTCCATCCTTTAAGATTGAATTCAAATGCTTGTTGTTACTGAGCCCTCTCAATGTGATTTTCCTTCCATATTTTCATAATACTTTCTTCTACAACATACATCCAACAGGCATATTTTGTCATGTGCATGTTGGATGTAGGTAAGTCTCAAAGTGACTCTAAAAGGTGCTGACAGCGCCAATTCCATTTCTGTATGTCACACAGAATCTGACTGTGGTCCTGGACAAAGAGTAGACATTTGATGTCTGTTGAATTCATGGAAAATTTCAAAGCTTACCTGTTCAGCTGGACCTTTCCTTCTAAATCAGAGATTGACACTGACCACCCAGTCCTCATGGATAGCTATCAAACTCTCTACAAATCATACAGGTGGAAGCTCTTGGATTCCAGGTATTATACTTTAGAAATGTATAGTCTAGACCAAAACTGCCAGCTTTAACAGCTTAGCAGACCGCTATGACCAAAAGTCATTACTAATCCACCCAAACTGTTATTACAAAGTGTGGTCCACAAGATCCCTGGTGGTCCCTGATATCTTATTACATGATCCTTTTACTTTTATAAAGAGAAATAATAAGGTAGAAAAAAWAATTTTACCAACCAGCATTTAACAAATGTGTAATACAACATTTGAGTTTTCATAGGAATCCAATGTTTTTAATAGTCATATGGATTGGTCATCCCACTGGCCCTTAAAAGTACCCAGTATGTTTTCTGGAAAGAAATGTTGTCAGTTGGTGGCATGAAGCTCTTAGAATTTCAGTCTCATTTGCAAACATAGCATGCTTAACTTTTAGTAAACCAATTAAGTTTTTGGTTTTTCTGTTTTCACAATAACCATGAACGTAGTGACACATAAAATAATGTGATTTTCTTACTGTTAACAGGAAATGTAGAAAAATTTAAAGATATCTTTCTAAGTTACACCTTATAATAAAAACAGGTACAAGTTAATTCTTAGAAAGAGGTTTGTAAAACCATAYACATTGATTATTACAAAATTTTTTATCAAATGTCAGGAATATAATATTGAGACTTCATAAAAATATCAACTGTAGTAGAGATAGCTCAGATTCTAAGAGCTTAACTCTTGCCAGCATTTGATAGTTCTTATTGCTTAGATAGTTTGAGCTTTATGTCAGAGACATTCTGATCCTACAACAGAATATAAAGAAATGCTTTCTAGGGCCAAATACAACCAGAGAGAACTAGAAATATATTTACTTTTTTTCTCCCAAGTTGAAACATTTAGCTCTCCCACTTTTGAGTGTGAAATGATTGTCAATCCAAAATGATGTAGTGTTGAGAGCAGTTTTCTCTGACAAATCTCCCCATAATGCTCCATAGTGTTGGATCTGTGTTAAACTTGGTGCACAGAACTGGGAGGGGGCAATTTACCAGAGCGGTGAAGAGCATAGGCACTAAAGCTAGACTGCTTGGACTTGATGTTAAACATTCTCCATGCCTTAGTTTTCTAAGGCATGGAGAATAATAACAGTATCTACACATGGATTGTGAATATGAGTTAATACATAGATGCCCCAAGAAGAAATGTCTGGCATGAGAAGCACTAGGTTTGCTACAAGTTATGTTGAAAAGACTGAAAATTCTTGCTGACATTCCCAGTGTTCTCAGTACCTGTTAGGATTGTTTTTAATTTAGTAAAGACAAAAAATAAAGATGCCTACTAGATGCAGACCCAACCTCTTGCTTCAAATTCCCATGACAAAGCCAGATAGAGATGAACATACAACCAGCACAGTGCCTCTTGCTGACAAAATTATGTTTCAAAATTATATTTTGTTGTTATTATTTAAAACTTAAACCTAACTCTGTGTCCATATATGGACCAGATGCCCCTTTAATCAATTTAAGAATGCAATAGCTTTGGAGACCACTGGATGGACAATGACAACCATGGCCACATGGGACTCAAAACCCCACAGTATGTGGAACCACTGCAGAGTTAGGGATATGCAAACTAAGAGCAGACACTGAGGCCATGCTCTGAATTGTACGTGCTTACGTGGTCAGGTCCAATAGATGAGACTAGAAGACATAGAGCTAGAACAACTGGGTAGCAGTATCTGATTCAGTGTGAAAGAGAACTTTTTTGCAGTTAGAGTAGTGTGCCCATCACTGGGGGCTGACTGCAGAGGCTTGACAACCAGTGATTTTGTGAAAAGAATTGAAGTTCAAGTGTGGATCCAGATCTCTCCCATTCCACCTGTATATACAGACTCTCCAAGGAGAAGCTTTCCTGGACTGTTTTGTAGATTGTGCCTTTCAGTCCAAACATCCTGACACATATCCCTCTTATATCTGCAAGTGTGAATGGAGTCCGATGATGGCCTCAAAATCAGAGACCTGAGTTCTAGTCCATCACGGGACCTTCGGTCAATTTTGTTCAATTAACTCCTGTAAAATCCACATCCATTCAAAGGATGGAAGTGACTTTACTGGTGGTGGTGGTGGTGGTGGTTCTTTTGCTGCTGCTGACAATACAAATCTGCTGTCTCCTGGACAATGACTTCTTCAGAAGGATCAATCCTTAATAATTCTTCCCCTTTTTCTTTCAGGCCGCTGTGCTCGCTGTGGGGAAAATGTAGTTGGGGAAGGTACAGGATGTACTGCCATGGATCAGGTCTTCCATGTGGATTGTTTCACCTGCATCATCTGCAACAACAAGCTCCGAGGGCAGCCCTTCTATGCTGTTGAAAAGAAAGCATACTGTGAGCCCTGCTACATTGTAAGTGCTTTTATTTTTGCTCTTCAGGTGATTTGGCCTAATGCCAATCACTCCAGACAGAATGTAGCCATCTAAGCTTTATTTCTCACCCAATGTTATAATATGTGTGTGTGTATATGTGTGTGTGTGTGTGTGTGTGTGTGTGTGTGTGTGTAAGTAAATAGGCATATTGTAGATTTCTCCCTGTATTCCCCATTCATATGAGGTCAGAAATGTGCATTGAGGTGGGGCTGCTTTTCATTTAGTGATTCAGCTGAGAAGTTCACCAACTTGTGGATTTTAGGCATGTATGTCCAAACTAGCAGGTATCCTCCTCAAAACATCAGAAGGCTTCCCAGTAGCAGAGTCTACCTTTTGCTAGTAAATCTCAGCCTGTGTTTGAAAGCCACTATTTTTAGGGAATCTTTGCAGACTTCTGGACTTGTCAGGCTCTTCTAAACTTCTGGACTACTTTTCTACCCAGAATGTTTCTTACCAGCCTTATCCAGCAGATTTTCAATGATGCAGAGAAACCCTGAATTATAGAGCACCTTAAAGAGAAATGAATAGTAATACCGACTGAGCTAATAATTGTTTTCTTTTTTAAAAGAAAAAACCCTGTATTTTAATAACATAGCTGAGAGACTGAAAAATAGTCATATTATCTTAGATTTTTTGCAAGGCTACTTAATCTATTATGTTATTCTCTAATAGAACAATTGGATGACTAAATACAAACTTTTTAAATAATCTAAAGTACCTTATTTTGCTATCTTTCTGCATGATTTTAATCTGCCTAACATGTGTTTGTGAATAAAAGTATTACTTTTTTTGCAACTCACAAAAGAGTAATGATTTGGCCCTTCATGCCGAGGTATTGCAGCATCAAAAAAGCCTTGGTACAAGGTGTTGGGAGTCACAGCTTTGCAAAATTTCCAAAATTCAAGGTTTATTGGAGTTTGTGGCCTGGATGGTATTTTGCCATAACCTGGTAACTTTAACTCATTGTAATGCTGGTGTTTGTAGCACAGTTCCAAAAGTTCAAGATGAAGACTATGAAGGATTACCTATCATTTTGCATCKGTTAGGCTCAATTTTATTTCATTTTTCTCCCAGAGGCAATTTAAATACATGTAGCATCATTAAAAAGCCATACATTTTTAGAGGTGAAAAAAAAAATCTTCAGACCATTTGCCTAATTTATCTCTTTAGAAGTGAGAACACAGAAACAGGGAGAGGGAGAGTAGCTTCTTATGTTCTGTCATAGTGTCAGAGCCAGGGCTATATTCAGTTATCCACAGCCTCATATCTTGTGCAAATACCACATGGTTTTAGTTTGTCCAAAACATAAAGATGGACACAGTAATGTCCTGTTGATCTGGAAAGAGCGATGACATCTAAAAGAAAGTCTGGCCAATGAAAGCTTACCACTATAGGACATTCAAATATTTCAGATATCACCTTTTGGGATCTTCATTGAAAAGAGAAAAGCATTGCATAGTTCCCAGCCTTTTCGTGTGGACTACATGAACTATCATTGACAATAACTTAAAACCACCACTRTGAAATTATTGGTTGCTACAAGAGCTTTGACAGTGATGTCAGCAGAGCCTGCAGAGGCACCCCAGGCCCATTTGTTCCTAATCTAAGAAATTACAAATGGTTGTGTGTGGTTTTTTGTTTGTTTTGTTTTGTTTTTATAGCTTTTCTGCTTCATCCTTTTTTGACTACATTGTTGACTGTTGGCCACTTTAATGACTTTCTTGTGACAGCCCTCTTCACCCATTCTTTTCATCCTTCATAAACCAAAACTCTTAAATACATTATCAGGAAACAACGTAACAGTACGAGGAGCTCCTGAGTTTGAATTCAAATCCATCACTTAATACTTTGTCTCCCTGTGTAAATTACTTCATCTTTCTAAGGCTTCAATTTGCTCAGTATTTCCCCCAAAGACTACAGAAGATGAAATGAAGCAATCATTCTGCCTTCTCCAGAAACAGTAGTGGAATACATGGTATTCCAAGATTAATTTTACCAAGATGTTTGATCCTCATCACTGTTTCTGAACCTGAGAACCTTACCTATGCAGTGAGATTCACCAGGAAGTTGTTTTAGCTCTCAGACATAACACTTCTTCCCACTTTTTAATGCTTTGCTTGCTTTCCTGAGTGTGTAATAAGACCAAAGAAAGGCCAATATGACAAAATGAGGAGAGTTTCTACAGTGTGTGGGCTCAGGTTTTAACCTCTCTTCGAGGCATAGGGTCTTCAGCATACTACCCCCCCTGCTTTGGTTGTATGTTAATGTACTGTGCTTATAGCAAGGAAAACTGTCTGGGAGATATTTAATCACAGACATGGAAGAACTGGGTGAATTCAAATAATGGAAATCCTTACCATCTTTTTAATATCCTCCTTCATAAGAACATTTAATCAAGTTTTTTTTTAAATGAAATCTATACATAGTGACTCTAAAATGTAATTTAATTTGTACCAGAATTCAGTTAAGCTTTACCCAGGGACCTTTGTTCAGCATTGATTGCGGAGTTCAACACAGCTCTCACACCCTCAGATGGGTATACTAGCACTTTAATTTCTTCTAAATTTGCATAAGTCCAATAAGCTGCACACTAGAACTAAAAAGATGTTGGGGAAACAGAATTAAACAGAACAATATTTTTTTTAAGGACAATCCTAGACATGTGTGTTTTAAAGAACCAAAGGACTTAGAACAGGAAGAACTTTCTGTGTGACCCAGAAAAATTGCCTCTTTTACAACTGCAGGAAACCAGTAGTTAAAAGACATTCTTTATGAAGCAGAGAAAACCCAGTCCCTGGATTTCAGTCAGGATTCCTTTCTTTTGTTTATTTTTTTCAATGATGGAATAAGTATATTATTTACATTAGGTTAACAAATAGGAAATAGAAAATCAAATATGTGTAGGGAATTACAATGCCATATTCAGTAGCTTAGTGAATTATTTCTGTGTAATGACCACCCAAGCATGTGTGACACTGAATCCAGGAATGAGACCCATCTACTATAAACTAAATTTATTTCTGCCAAAATTGGTTTTTGATAAAGATCAATATAACTAATGTCATATAAATATAACTAAACCTCTCCAATAGGGAATAGGATACATTTAATAAGTGGTCTCATTACTGCTGAGGATCCTGTAAACTGGAAAAAAAACTGGATTAAATCTAAGATCATAGTTAAATGAAACATTTAAATTATTTTAAGGTAAAATGCACAAGTAATGTCTTCAGATTTGGTTTATTAATTGCAGATATGTTTCTAAGGTCTCTTGAATTCTTCATCCTTGTGTACAAATAGCTGTACTTAAATAAATTTTACTCAATATGGCATTGTAATTCCCTACACACATTTGATTTTCTATTCCCTATTTGTTAACCTAATATAAATATGTACATAGCTTTTTATTGGTAATCATCTTCATTTTTAGCTTTTTATCTCTTTAGGTTTATATAATGTTTATATGCTATATTTTAAAACCATTTCTCACTCAAAAGATATTAGGTGTTTTCCAATCTTTTAGCATTGTAAATAATAGGCTTACAGGAAACAGAGTAAAATTTTTATATTTTTTAAATTACTTCCATAGATTAATTTTAAATTTATCTTACCAATCAAGAGCAGAGTAATTCAGAAGACTTTGCTTTACTTTGCTACATTTCTTTAGAAAGATTTTTCCAGTTTATAGGACCATCAGCAGTAATGAGACCCTCTCCAATAGGGAATAGGATACTTATTAAATGTATCCTATTCCCTATTGGAGAGGTTTAGTTATATTTATTTTGAACCAATTTAAAAAGTGCATTATGTCACAGTTATTTAATTTACATTCTTATAATTATTATCAAAATTGATGAGATGTTTTTCGAGTTTGGTGTCACTGAGATGCTTTTCTTCTTTGACATCTTTTTAAAAGCTTAGTTTTAAGCATTAATAAAGTTTTGAAAAAATTAACAATTTAAAATTAAGCACTCAAACTTCCTTGGGAAGTAAAGTGTTATAAACAGCATCTACTTAAGTAATGGTGACTCTCTTGGTATGACCTTGGGTAAATCATTCATCTTCTGAGTACTAGTGCTCACATTTATTAAAGGAAGATATTAATTTCTTTTCTATCCTCAAAGAGAGGGAGAGAACAAGTATGATATTTTGTATGTCATTAAACSATTTACCAATATGAGGGCCTAATCTGATTAATAATATGACTATCATCACCTTTTGCCCTTAGTATTATGTGATCCAATTTAGAAACCCTTTTTAAGTTTGGAGAAGTATCCTGGCTGTAGTTACGATAGAAATCCCAAAATAAATTGATGTAGTAGGAGGAACATGAGAACAAGTAAGAGAAGAAGAGCTTCACGCTTTGCTTACGCCAGTTTCTGTACTGCCATCAGTGAGGCGGTAGTCATGTCTCCCCCCTTGTATGTCCTCTGCCCTCCCTGAGACCAGCTTACTCATGAGCAGAGATTTAGCACAATCAGTGTCGTTTTCCTCTTAGCACTGACAGGGAGCCTTGGCCTAGAACAAAGCACATAAAAAGTTTTCACCAAAGTGTTTACCAAATGGCAGCCAAGGAGTCTCCCCTAAACCAGGGCTCCAACACAGAGTGGTAGGAGTCCAACTCCTGACACTGAAGGTAGAAGTTGTTAAGACATTTTTATTAGAGCTGAAATCCTAGTGACTAACAGGCCTCAGGAAACAGGAGGCCAGCTCCAAAGGAGACTAAGCTCTGAGGTACATGAACTTGGCACATTAGTGGCGAGCCCACCAGCAGACTTTTACTCTCTTGTGTCACTAAATGGCTGCAGTTAAAACAGTCTAACTTTTCAACCTCCAGTAAAAGGTTGGGTTTTGTATCTCTGCAGGAAAGCTGTCCTTTATAAATTCAAGTTCTCCTAATAAAATGTTTTAAAAGCACTTGTAGCCAGTGCCTTATATGGGTGTTGGAACAGGAACTGGGAGTTTGGACTAAATCTTTT